TATACTCTTAAAATTATGACTTTTGATCTAATATTTCTTGAAATTTTAATAAATATTTAATATATATCGACACTCTGTATCAAAAGTTATGGATTCAGATGACCCGTAGTGGGTAGACTACATCCGTCCCTAATTGTCGGAGCACCCATTGACTTGAAATTCTGGATCCATCACTGCCCACATTGCTTAATTTTCGTATAACTAAAAAGTATTTATAGCTTTTTACTTCTTGATTCACTAAAAGAGTTTGAATATAAAATAGAAATATTTTAATATAATTATCTAAATCTCAAAATTCTTGAAATTACTCCCCTCGACACAAAACGGATGCTATCGAATTGTTCTGTGGTTAGTATTATGGTTAGGCAAATACTATTTCACGACGTAGGTAAACAAGCCATTGCTTTTACCATTTTCGTATGCTAAAACAAAATTTACCGCGAAAATACGGAGAATAATTAACACAAATTTGTTTGAATTTGTTATAAGTAGTATATCACTCTCTATAATTCAACTAGGAAACAAATAATTGATCCATGAAGATTTTCATAAATAGTCAATTAAGGGGTCGGTGGAAATTACAATAACAATTGCCGCATTAATTAAAATAGCACACAAAAATTTTCTCATGGATCCAACTATTAATAAAAGTTGCTTAGTATTTAGTTACTTAGGTGGACAAGTAAACCTAAATGATTAATTTTAATCCATTATCTATAAAGTCTAACCTTTTCCTCGTTGAAAACAGACAAAAGTTATACATATGACGATTTCGAGTGTGATGGTCAATGAGTTAGTAGATACTACGCTATGTTTCAACAACTGTAGTATTATAAGTTAGCTGTTTCTATAATTAATCTTTTAACTAAGTCACAGTCTTATAAATAAAGAAAAAATTACATCTAATGAGAACTATAATGGTCGTTGACTGGTTGTGTGATGCGTGACCAAAAATAAACTATATTTTTCACATAAAATAGAAATTAACGAACTCATAATGTAAGGTAGATGTTGAGAGTGTGAAGTTTGCAAATCATCTATTTGATTTTTTACTTTCATACAAGGTAAAAAGTTGTTGTCTTTCATCTCTCACTTATTATGACTTTTATTTAAGTTAAAAAAAATTATTATTGAAGGTCTAATAGGTCTTCAAAGACGTTAATGACTAAATCTCTCATTGCCTCATTGGGTGTAGGCGTTCAGGTAAAACTTCAGATGATGTGAAACTTCATCTGAATAAAATACTAACTTTTTTTATGCACTAATTTTTGACTTATCGCTGAGAAGAAAGAAACTAAAATGAAAAGAATTATTTTTTTTAAAAAAAAAATCTCTGGCCTAAGAAAAGTACAGTTTACATAATTTTTGTCATGGGCTTTGCCTAATGGTAGTAAAATGGATAAAGAAAAATGACACGGTATAGCCGCTCTTAAAATAATAGTTAAATTTTTTTTTTATATATATATACATTGTGTATGTTATATACGAAAATTATACACTTTTTCGGCTACCGAGTGTAAATAATTTCTGACGCGGAATAAAAGTGATAATACCCCTATAAGAAAAAAAAAACAGTTATCCACCCATATTATCCATTAAAATATGGATTCGATAATAAACTTTTTAAAAACGGGTCAAATATGGATAAGAACCATACTATCCACTCCTTATCAATAAAAAGGACCATACTATCCACTTAAAAAATGGATAACTAATGAGTTTAACTTTTACATTTGTAAAGTCTCAAATTGGGGATTCCTCAAGTTTGGAAGACTAGGCTAGCGTTTGGCCATACATTCCTAAATTTATTTTGAAAAATCTAATTTGGGTGAAGTTTGGTTTGAAGATGAAAATGTGTTTGGACATTAGTTTTCAAAACATATTTCCCAAATTTATTTTGGAAAAACATGAAACGTGACTTATACCCACAAGTTCTAAAATCTATCACAAATACCCAATAGTACATTTATTAATAACATTCATTATATTATCGCAAACCACAGTCCTGAACATAAATAAATTTGGTACAAAATTTTTATTTTTATAATGAACTACATGATACACTATCTGATGACCGAGACGACGAAGCAAATTTTTACAAAATAACAAATGGTGGGCTCTTTTATAAAATACAAAAGTTTGAGGCAATTTTAAAAAAAAATGTAATAGTGATATTTTGGCCCAAACCAGCTATTGAGCTGGTTTGGGTTTTGGGATTTTGCCAAAATGTAGCTAAAAGCTATGGCCAAACATGTGTTTGCCAAATAAAACTCAAATTTATTTTGGCAAAATCTATGGTCAAATGGGTCCTAGGAATTCTCCCAAAAGTGATCATATTCAAGAAATCATGGACAATACAGATAGAGAAAATCTCACTTTATACCCATGAATTCCAAACTATTTAACCTTTAATGCCCAGGCCCAAACTATTTACTAGTCCTACCCATACGGCCCAAACTATTTCCCGCTAATTCCAGCCGCTGCTTGGCCAAAGATGGAAGCGATGAATAATATCAAAGCAATAAGGTTCATCTGCAATCTAGACCCCTCAATTGATGAAAAACTAAATAAAACGAAATAGGAAGACTCCAAGAATCCACATATAATTTGCGACCCTTGTCTATCCACAAAAATTCCAGTCTTCTTTCATGATTGCTTTGTTGAAGTGGTGCTATTATTTTGAAGATTTATTATTTGATTCGATGTGGTGCTATAAAATATTGCTTATAGTATCTTCGAGTAAGCTTCCCAGATCTAAATTTTTATGTGTATTTGAATATCCACCATTGTTGGGCTTGAAGCTCAATTTTATTTTTGAAGATTTCTTGTTTGATTCAAAGTGGGTGCTGTTAAATATTGCTTATAGTACCTTCTGGAAGTTCATACTGAAATTTGATAGCATTTGGAGCTGATTTGAGGTGATTGAGATCGAAATTTTCAGTTGAAAATCGAAGAAGAACACAGTTACAGTATACCGCTACGGTATACAATATGTTGTAGGAGTATATAGCTATACTGCAACAGTATACTATTATAGTTTACAATATACTGCAACGGTATATTGTAATAATCGAAGAAGAACACAGTTACCTAACAGTATACAATATACTATAGGAGTATATAGTTATACTGCAACAGTATACTATTATAGTATACAATATATTGTTATAGTATACTGTAATAATATACAATATACTGTAACAATATGTTGTAATAGTATACAATATAGTATAATAGTATACTTATTACCCGTAAATTCACTTGTCTTTTTCCTTTTAATTTGCTTTAAGCTTTTATCCAGCGTGAGGGGCAAATTGAAAATATATATATATATATATATATTATAGTATGATATATAATGTAACGGTATACTCTTACAATTAGATCCTTTTAGAATTTCTTAAAATTTTTATTGACAACTGATATTATTTCAGTATAATAATTGAATTAAAATTTTTTTTTAACTCTTTGCGTATAATTGTATACCCTGTTGGTGTAGCTATATACTATATTGGTATCATATGTTAGTTAATATTTTTTGGTTGTATTAGTTACATTTAATTGGTACNATATATATATATATATATTTACATTTTCAATTTGCCCCTCACTATGCTATATAATGTAACGGTATACTCTTACAATTAGATCCTTTTAGAATTTCTTAAAATTTTTATTGACAACTGATATTATTTCAGTATAATAATTGAATTAAAAAAAAATTTAACTCATCACGTACAATTGTATACCCTGTTGGTATAGCTATATACTACACTAGTATCATATGTTAGTTAATATTATTTTTTTGGGTTGTATTAGCTACATTTAATTGGTACACAATTTGATTTTTCTTTAGTAATAATATAAAAAAAAGAATAATAAAAATAGTGAAAACGGTAAGTGAAATTATATTATGAAGAGAAAAAGAATATAAAAAAAAGACAGTTAATTGAAATTAGAAAAGGAAAAAAGAAAAAAATAAGAAGAAAACGAGAAAAAAGAAAAGGAGAAAAAAAAAAGAAAAAAAAAGAAACGAAGCATAGAAATAAAAAAGAATTGGAGAATAAAGAAAAAATTCCCCACAAAACCTACTATGGGTAGAAAATGTAATTAGTTTATGGGTAGAAAAACAAATGGGTAGACAAGGGTAAATAGTTTTATTTTTGTGGGTAATTGTGTCAAAACCCCATATAGATATCCATATTATCCGCCGGTTAACCCATTTTTTATCTGTATTAAATATGGGTCGGGTCGTAATATAGCCATTTTTCATAGTACATTTTTTGACCCACTTATTTGATCCGACCCGCCCGTTTGTTACCCCTGGATTTGTCTAAGATCCATCATCCTTGAAAGGTCTATGTTATGTCATTTTTTATCTTTTGGATACGATGAATAAAGATGGTAAGAATTGCTCTGATATCCTATGTTAGCTCATTAGTGATGTTATTCATTTTGATCCACATAACTTTAAGACGTATCTCTAGGGTCTAAAGCTTCTTCATCATATATATCTTCCATAGTTTTGCCCATATATAATACCTTATTCTCATTTGTCCTCCAGTAATAGCTGTGGTATACTTTTTTTCTGCTTGGTTGTTAGCCGACTGTGTGTGGAACATTGTGTCATATTTATTTGTCTAGTTAAATTGTCTGGTATTTTTCCTTATATGGGTAAGCATGCTGAGGACTAGTACAACTTAGGGTGAATCTCCCTTGTATTTGTGCACTCAAAATATTCTGTATTCTTCCTTATTGGAGTGAGCATGCTGAGGAATAATACATGTTTGGGCAAATTTAACTTGTATTTTGTAGACTTCTCTACTTTAAAACATAGCTATGCAATGGTCAAACTGGGCCAACCTCATTCTTGAAGCAAATATCAGGTCAAAAAGTTCCCTTTTTTGACAGCTGACATCTTTCCTCTTTTGAAACTCTGGGAAAAGCTAGGTGGAATAGCATATAATCCTGAACTACGGACATAAAAGGAACCAAATAGGTTGGCAAAAACTAGATGATTTCACATTCAACAGAATAAACAGTGAATGGGAATCGCCGCTGCAATATGGCTATATAATAAACACACCTAGACACAAAACAACTACACTAAATCAGCATTACCAAAAGAGGCTTAATACAACTATCGCCGAAACTTCTGGGAAAGCACTCCCAATAAAAAAACCTGGTTGAATCACTGGAGGGCGCTAATTAAAGAGGGTCATACAAAATTTTGATCAAAGGGCCAAACAACATCCTGCTCCTCAATCATAGTACAGACAACGTATTTTATCCCGCCAGAACTATCTACTCCATTCTAAATCAGCACCTGATCTTGGATTTGCATTGTTCGAACGGCTGGCATCTTCAGGCTTGAAGGAATTCACAGCAGTGTGCCAACCTAAAAGGTATGGCACAACAAACTGCAAAAAGATTAGCAGAAAACATGTTAGAAGAGGTAACCCTGCTGGAAAGAAAGAAGAGAATCAATATCAACCAGAAAGAAGAACCGCCTTGAAATGTCAACATCGACAACAATCACAAAGGGTTAGCTAGTCACAATGCTTCATTTTTAGCAAGAGGAATAGTCGAAGGAGGGCAATGTTGTTGGCAAAGAATTCTATGGCCTGAATTATACTGACACCTTGTAGATAGCTTCATTCTAAGATGGTTTAACTTATAGTATAACACGAGGTGCTTTTCAAAAAACAAGATACAACTTCCACCACTTGCTATTAATTCAAAATGCAAGAAAAGTAACAGGAGAAAGCTTATCAACTTGGTTCCAAGGTTTTCACGCTGCATCTGAATGAACTCTGACCACTTTGCAAGGTTCAGGGGGACCTAAAGAAAAAAAGCAATTTCCCAAAATAGAATGATCCTAAGATACCCTACTTAGGAAGCCAAGTCTTAAGCTTGCACAAGTTGTCACTAGTCTTATTTCTTTCTCCTTTCTCATCCATGTTAATAGCAAACATGGGGCTATAAAATATTCACGGTGTTAGCCCTGCCATTGACTTCTGACTAGGGAATTTAAGCAAAAATCAAAGGAACTGGATCTATACGCCGCATAAATAGCCAGCTATCTGCATGCATGAACTTATGGCAAACTTCGCTATTTAGCGCCACAAACTGACAAAAATCAAGAGGCTTACTAACTTAACAGAATACCACACGGGTGAGGAAACAATTAACGACTATATATCAAAGAAACTGGGAGACCAGCTTCATCTTACGTTGAATGCTGAGACAAGAACTGCAAACTCTGCCTTTGTAACAGGGATGTAAATGTTCTCATCCAAATTGATAAGCTTGTTCTGAACACCTGCATTCATTTAGGAAGGCAAACAAGTCATGTTGTATATTCTACAAATATAACGTCCAATTTTTAGTGTAATAGAGTTTCAAGGAAGGAGGTGATTACTGAGATTAAAGAAGTGACCAGAGCCATCCGGAAGTGGCTCAACCTTCAACACCTTCCTGACTTTACCTTCATCACTGTGAAGCACACATAAGATGCCTTCTTAGAACTTAAACTAATGAGAACACATATTATTAATTAATTCCCAACACATACAATGCCTAACAATTAAAATATTGATCTCCAAGCCAGTATTCTAATAAATACTGTACATTTTTGCCTACAAACACATTGAGATAAATAAATCATAACCATATCCAGGACAGTCGATATATGGTAACTGGAGCTAATTGCCGAATAGTGGTTACTATAGTGCTCACATTAGGAATCAATAACAATAGCCTTGTGAAAAGATGTAGGTGTTACCTTCTTCCTTTGTTTGGATCGTGGAAAAATTCACATGAATCTTTTGCCCCAAGGCTGATAAGAGATCCCATTTCAGTCACAGACAATGAGAAGACCTGAAAACACACAAATACTGAGAAAGACAGTTGGAAATCAACACAAGGAGAGCAGAAATAATACCTAACTCCATGGTCAAAAGTGTCACAAACATGTCCGCCAAAAATCACTACTACATATTCTACTATCTGATTTTTATCGAACCTTAGCCCCGCCTCGATCCATGGGTAAGAGAAGTGCATAAAATATGAATTCTGCAGTGGAGCAAAGAGAAAAATTAAGGTAGAGATTACCTGCTTTCTACCCCAATCATATTGGCGAACACCAGCAGCAGGTGCAAACTGAAGCAGCACGAAACCCTCTCTTGACAGCTTGAAGGCCCCTGACTGCTCCATAATTTACAACAACCAAAGTAGGCATTAAACTACTACCAATTCCTCAATGACTATTAAAGATTAAGCAGAAGAAGGGCAACCCAAACACATGGGGAAGCATACGTCTAAAGGTGAGAACTCTGGAGGCCGAGGGTCGACAGTGAGAGCTGCCTTCCCTTTGTATATTGAGTATCCAACATAAACCTTAGGCGTAGATGCCCCTAAAAAATAAGAACAATTTTAATTCTTTCATACCATGAAATGGCGCAAAGCATATAATTTGACCATACAAAGTAATTATTAGGAACCAATATACGAAGGCGGCTCTTATTGTGTTCAAAGAACATTGACGAGAACACAATGTAGACAGAAGGACAAAGCCTCTTTCTTTTTTTCCTTTTCCAGATAAAACCTTTAAAATTTAGAAGATTTTCTGACATTTTTGTTGGGAAGAAACTAAGAAGCAATTTCCTTTTTCATTTCAAGTACTTAAAAAACAAAACTTACACTATGCAAAGGCATTGTAAAGAAAATGGACCTTGCGCCTAAAATCACAAACGCTTGCTCATGAAGTGAGTATTGCCTAAGACCATGTAAGGAACAACACATTCCCTCACGCAATGTGGGACAATCTATTGCCCCGAACACCCAGGCCTAGTTAACTGGAGCGTGGATAATATGACATGGGGTCCAGCATTAGGTAGAGTAAGAATAGGGTTGGGTCTGGCTCTAGTACCATGTAAAGAAGATGGACCACTTAACTCAATCCTAAAATTTAGCTCATGATGTGAGGATTGACCAAGACCATGCAAGGAGACAACAACCTATTCCCTCATCGACAATCTATCAGGCATATCTAGCCATTCAAAACAAGTTCAATCTGACCCACTGTTCTAAATTGGGACTACGTATCCAAATGAACAAACATTACACATATAACATAGACTACACCCACCATGAACAACTGTAAATCAAGCAAAAAGACACTATTTTTGAATTTTGAGTTCAACAAATGAAGCAATAAGGGAAATTAGAACAACAGCAATTCTCAATGCAGAGAAACCCATTTAGACCCCAACTACAGGCACCCAAAACCAAAACCCCCGGCCAAAGCTTGAATTTGTAGCTTAATTTTGGTTCATAAAATATGAAAATGTTAAAATAAAGACAAAACAACACTCACAAAACACAGTCCAAGAAAAGTATAGCAACTGAAAAACACAAAAGAACATGCAAAAGTCATTAACAAAGAAACCCCAATTTCAAAACTTGAACAGTCCCAAGAAGAAACCCATTTTCAAAACTTAATAGAGTGCAAAGCCATTAACAAAGAAACCCAAATGCAAAATTTAACAAAGTGCAACGTCATTAGCTCAAAACAAAAACCATTTTCAAAATTTTAACAGAGTGCAAAGCCATTAACAAAGAAAACCCATTTTCAAAACTTAACAGAATTTACCCTGCTGCAGCTGTTGTTGCTGTTGAGGTTCAAAGTGTTCAGAATGGCGGCATGTTAAGGAAAGGTTTCTGGGAAAGGCTTTTGAGCTTTTTGTGTTGGAATTTAAGGGGCTAATTAGAATGGTATTATTGAAGGAGGAAGAAAAAGAGAGAGGTTGATGGTGATAGGGATAAGGGGAGGAGGTTTTAGTAGGGTTTTGTAATTTAACACTAAATCCTGCAGGAGAAAGAGAAAGGTTTAACATGGCTTCTCAAGAAAAAGATTTTGCCTAAGGGTGACAAAGGTTTAATGTTTACGAGGGATTTTGCTGCCCAAGAATGGAAACTGGGAATTGGAAAGACCTGTTCTTGGACTTGGAGCAGGCTTTCAGTTTACTGCTGGGGAAAGGGGGAAGTTTTGTATCACCTAGTAGTAGTGTTCAAGCTGCCATTTTGAGGGAAAGAGTATTTTTATATAGAGTAAAGTGAAATTAACTTCCAATAATTGAAAATTGTTACGGGTAAAAACTTGCTTGCTGTTACGAAATAATAAAAGAAGAACAGTATTGGAGAGAAAATTAGGGGGAGAATTCTTATTGATTTTGGGATGATTTATAATGTCTTTTGTTGAATCTTTTTCACGGCTTAATAGATAGTTTGATAAGCCAATGATTGGAATAGGACACCTCTATTTATAGGAAAAGAATGACTTAGCCACCAAGTAAAATCCCTACAATCTCTTTAAAATATAGACATTCACGTTAAATAGAATTCTATTTATAACACTCCCCTTGAATGTCATTCAACAGATAATATGCCTCATTAAAACCTTAACTAAAATAAAACGTAGTGGAAAAAAATTCTAGAGAAAGAAAAAGAGTACATGTCGCGCCCCCTTTTTCCCTCTTCACATCGGGAGATCGGATTTATGACATTTTGGGTATAGGACAACTCGTTCCTTTTGGGAACTGGGTTTTGCATTTGAAGAGTCGCCACCTAATGATTTAAGGTGCATTAGGACACCTACAAGGTTCACTTCTAAGTTCGCTTGATAACCAGAGATAGGGTAAGGGCTTGAAATTATTCTAAGGGGAAGGTGTTAGGCACCCCTCAGGATCCACTAGTGTGGTTCCCGGCCAGATAGTTCTTTGTGAATTTGGTGCAATTAACATGTAAACAGATAAGGCTCAAATAAGAGGGGATTTTAATACACAAATGTTTGAAAGTAAAACAAAGTTTGGAAGAGCAATCATTAAAAGGCTGGTTTTTGACAAGAAGTTATAATTCTGTAAAATATTTAAAGAAAAGGAAAGAGGGGGGGGGGGGGGAGGTCCTAGGTTTATTTGTAATATGGATCACATCAATGCAATACCCGGTAGTCACTCCTCAAAAGAGGGGCTACACGTGGTATTAGCGCACCGGTCATCATATCCATATCTACCCTTCCCACCCCGTTAAGGTACTAAAGCGCGGATTGGTCTCGACCACTATTGCATGATATTACCCGCCACATTCCTATCAGCTCCGGAGGCACTTAGGACTACTATTCCTAAAGGGGGGGAATATTAGGCTGACTTGAAGTTTCAAAGGTGAAAAAAAGCTAAGGCGACATACAAAATACATAGGACTGCACATTAAAGGGGGGAGCACACAAAACACTGAAGGCCCATGTATACCTCTTCAAACAAAGCAATCAAATAGCATGACTCAAACAACAATCAAGGTCTGAATCTAAATACTAAAGCAAGGGGATTTTAAGTTGTTGAAGCAGACCAATTTATTACGTAAGTCAGATAAGAAGTCCGAGTGAGGCCTGCCTGCTGGTTGTAGCAATTACTAGTTAACAGAAGCGGGCTCAGTTTTATTTGTTGTTATTACCTAAGGTTTGCCTAAGTGTTTAGGTGAGATCTTATGAGCATGGTATCTATTACTGATTCAGAGTGTGGCAAAGCAATAATCAATTTAAAACAAGCGGTTTGAGATCGTATAGGCATGCTTGCTAAACCGTGTTAACAAAGGGAGAGTTAGTTGTTTTAAAAAAACTAGTTCAGAACAGTATGAGTTAGGCTGATTTTAAGCTAGACAGGTTTCAGATTCTACAGACGATGATATCCATTATTGCTGATTTTAATTCCTATAGACCTGATATCTAGCGTTGCTGATTTTAATTCCTATAGACATGATATCTAGCGTTGAACATGAAATGGAAACAGGCAGGATTTTACTTGGGAGTTCCTATAGGCATGATTTCTATGAAAATACTGATTTTAACATTATGAACATGATATCTGCTTATAGCCGTTTAGATCCTAAGAAGCATGGTGTCTAAGTGTGGTAACAAATATGCAGAATTTTAAACAAGTCCTATAGGCATGTTATCTTAATGTGGAGTCAAACATGCATAATTTATTAGAGGACAGATCCTATAGGCATGGTGTCTAAATGTAAAGCTGAACGTGCATAATTTAAAGTAAGTCCTATAGACATGGTGTCTAAATGCAGAATTGAACATGCAGAATTTAAAACCAGTCCTATAGGCATGTTTTCTACCCTTCTAACAGTGGAACATGCATAATTACCCATCCCTTTTCCACCAGCCAACCCCGAGAGTTTATTACAAATCAAAATAATGAATTACATCAAAAATATAAAACAAAAGAAGTTACAACCAGAGGAAGCCTGATTCTTGACTTCCTCTCTGAGTTAGGGAATAAACCACCTCAAATGCCATTTGTTTCAAAGCCTATCTCCGACCTGGGTGTGTCAAAGTTCCCTAAGAGTCTCAAGGGGACCCTGGGCAATGCTTACACCCAAGTTTACGGAACCAAGTAGAGATGAGTGCAGTGTGGAAGGGACAACCGTTGTGTGTCCAAGTTCAGATGGAACTCATGGGTCCCAAGGCAAGGCTCACACAAGAGGAGCAAAACCTAAGTCTAAGAATATGGTGGAAGTGCAGGAATAGGGATTTAAAACTAAGTGGAGAATCGAGAGGGGTAGGGGTGATGGGAAACAGTAGTAGTAAAGCACAGAATCAACATTTTCCATACAAAGGGGGTCAGGGGTTTGGGAATACATTGCAAGGAGCATATGTCCTTAGGCAGGGATCAGGTTTGGGCATGCACAATAATAGATGGTGCTGGCATGCCCATAAGCCAGCCAGAGAACACAACACATAGAGGGGATATGGAGGTTATGACCCCAGAGGGGTCAGGTTTGGGTCATGCACGGCAATGTCTAATGCTGACATGCCCCAAACCAACCAAAGGGTATCAAACACATAGGGGGTATGGGGGTTTAGGATTCATAAGTGACTGACAGAGTTCATACATAAGAAAACATTAATTCAGAAGAGGAAGGGCAAATTATAGCATGCTTAATAATGGAACTTTATTAAACACCAACAGGAAACAAACAAGGGTGAAGGAAATAGTAAAGAAACATGTTGTTGTTGATGCTGAAAATTAGTTAGAACATACCAGTAAAGATGCAAATGCAGAGAGGAAAAGCAAGCAAGCTTCCCACAGCCTAGCCTTGGCTTTCAGCCGGCTAGGTAAGGCACCAACACAAGTAGCAACAGAGAAAAGAGAGAGAGATTTTTAGTGGAGTGTGTGTTCTGAACTCAAGTATTTTTATTCCTTGTGTTCTTTTTTTTGTAAGTAGTGGGTGCAGGGTATTTATAACCTTTTGAGAACGAGTGAAGGAGAGGTAATAAGTAAAATTTTAGTGCAAATATGGAAACAATCAGTCAGAGTCAATTATACAAGTGATTCCCTTTAATTAAGGAATCACTGTTTAACTGATTCAAAAAATAAGGAAGAAAATCAATTTAGAGACAGCCTGATTATTGCCATAAAAGAAGTAGTAAAGTCATAAAGTAAGCAATCGAGTCTAAGTACAGAAATATACTTATTTTGGAAACAGATTCAGCAAGGTAAATATTACAATAAAGGGAAGGGAATCAATCAATTCTAAACAGGCGAGTAAAATCATGGTTCATAAAAGAAAAGTTTTTAAATCAGTCCCAAGATTGAAGATCAATCAAAGAAGGAACTTCAACATATAAATAGAGTGAACAAACACTAGACATGCTGAGGCCAAACCTATTAGCAAAAGAAACAACATACAATAGTAGCACAAGGTTCAGTAGATAGCAAACATTCGAAGCATAACAATCAAGTAGGTCAAGTCACATTGAATCAATACTGAAGAAAAATAGAGTATCAGAAGCATGCAAAGGGTCTCGTAGTAGTAGATGAGAAACCTTTTGAAAAGTTAGGGTTTCAAGCATAGTCGAGTTTTAAAGATAGTAAAAAACCCAGAATCAGAGGAATCACATAAAGAAAAGAGATTCTGAAACAAGGAACTTCAAATCGAGCCAGGTATTCAAACGAACAGTTTCAAATCCAAAGACATAGGTTCTTTTCAACAATAGTCGAGCTTAAAAAGATGATAAGTAAATAAATCGAACAAGAACTTAACCAAACAAGCACTTATCTAACAAACAGCTTCAAAACTCAAATGAGACCCAAAAGAAATTAGGGTTTCCAACATTCCAACTCATATAGAAGAACGACATGAGCAAAGCATAGCAAAATCAGAAATACGTTAAAATCAGAGAAGAGGTTTCGAAATAATTTAAAAGAAAAACCCTAATCGGAAAAGATGAAGAGTCACTTTGAAAGAAAAGTCAAAGAGACTTCGAGAAGCACTTAAAAAGTTCATAGCAAGCATAGATATAAGGTAGATCTGAAAGAAATCGAAAAAGTCTTAGAGATTAGGGTTTCAGAAAAACCCAAGAGCAATGATAAAGGCCTTGAAAGTTACCGATCTAAACAGGAGAGTCAAAGGTCTGACTCGAATGGCCATGGTTGGCCGGAGGAAGGTCAGGGATGACCGGAGAAAGGTCATCGAGCAAAGATTGGACCAAATCCCTTCATAGTCTGGACATGAAACCACAGAACCAAA